CCGCCACCATAATTGTAGCCCAGGTAGCGGGCGGCCTTCATGCTCTGCGCCGTCAAGTTGGCGCCGTGACAGACCATCAGCAACAGGTTTCGAGGCTGTACGCGGTAAGCGAAGCACATGAAGGCCAATGAGTAGAAGATGAGCGCTGTTGTCATGCGGCTGCTGATGATTTCCGGAGACGCCTTCATGTCCCTAAAGGCAGTCAGCGGTAGGCCCCAGTTGGCCAGGGGACCCCAAAAGTGTGTGCTGGTCACGGAATCCCGGAACTCCTTGGTCTTCACGTGGTCTCATGCTTTCCGCCACAGTGTGGCCATCGCCGCCATGACCACGGAGTTGCGGGAGCCCCAACGGATCAACTGCCAGCTCACAACGACTTGCGGCGTGGAGACAGCAAGCCGCAGCCTACCCGGATGTGCCTTCCGCCCACGGCCTCGCGCCTTGGCCTGACTGCCGTAAAGCGCACCATACAGCACGTGCCGCTGTATCGTGTGTGCGCCTTTGGGGGCGGGATTGTGTTCTCACTTCCGGGCCTTCAGTGACTGCCGTAAAGTGAGGCAGACGGCACGTCCCGCTGTCTTGCGGGCCTTACTGGGCAGGAGCACGGCTTCGCCCGTGTGCCTTAACGCGACTGCCGTCAAGTGCGTCCGTCCGGCAGCACGTGCTGCTCTGCTCTTGGCGTGTGCCTTTGGGACCTAGAGCACAGCCGGGTCCTTGTGCCTGCCGTCGCGTGAGTACCTGAATGTGCGTGTGTGCCTGCCTGTCTGTGTGTGTCCCCCTCTAGCAGAGGTGGAACTGCAGCCTCATCGTTTGCACCCATCGTGCTGCGGCCACCTTAAAACTCTCAAAGCTCCACCTACCACCCAGGAAGGTGAGGGTTCGGCCGCCTGCTTTTCCTCGGCTTATACGGAGGGAAACTTTGCTTGTTCTGTTCAGTTTGTGGACAGTGTTGATTAGATGCTGATACAAAATTCTTCAACCGGGTAAAGAATTTTAGTCCTTACACAATTTGCCGGAGTGTTACTTGCAGACATAGTTACAGGTCACCCCTCAATATTCCAGCTTCTGGCTAACAAGGACATTCTCCTAACTTAACCACAATACAGTAATCCAGTCAGATACTTGACATTTAGTATAGTACTGTGATCTAATATGCAGTGCATATTTAAGTTTTACAGCTGTTTTTTTTCTTTCTTGTTGGAGTGGGGGAGATCTAGGATGCAGTCAAGATTCACATTTAGTTATCTCTTTTAGATTAATCTTCCTTAATCTTTTTTTTTTAATATGTCTGTATTGATTTCAGAGAGAGGAAGGGAGAGGGAGAGAGAGAGATAGAAACATCAATGATGAGAGAGTCATTGATCAGCTGCCTCTTGCATGCCCCCCCACTGGGGATCGAGCCTGCAACCTGGGAATTCCTTAATCTTGAGCAGGTCTGCAGTGTTCTTTGTCTTTAATGACATTGTAATTTTATTTATTTTTTATTGATTTGAGAGAGAGAGAGACAAACATGCATCACATGATGTCACTTGTTTCCATCATTGGCAATACTAAGTTTGATCATTTGGTTAAGGAGTTGTCTGCCAGGTTCCTTCATTGTAAAGGCACCTTTCCCCTTCTGTAATCAACACATTATTCAGGGGGAGCCTGTTTGAGAGTATTTGGATCTTCTATTCTGCAACAGTTAATATCTGTGTATAAAAATTCATTTATTAATTGATTTTTAGAGAGAGAAACATCTATTTTGTTGTTCCACTTAATTTATGCATTCATTGGTTGATTCTTTATATGTTCCCTGACCAGGTATTGAACCCACAACCTTGGCACATCAGGATGACACTCTAACCAACTGAGCTACCCGGCCAGGGCCCACTGATGAAAATTCGTAATGACAAAACTGATTATTATTCTCCCAGTGTTTTTTACCTTTTCCAATAAAAGTAATACTTGTTGAAAAGTAATTGAATGTACATTGAAATATTAACACTTTAAGTAGTGATTTATAAACAAGCCCATTGTACCTCTAAAAGTTATTACATTCATTATGTTCATTTACATCCCAAATATTTCACATATATAGTTTAAATATATATAGTATAGCCATTGCTCAAAAGGAAAGCAGCATAATTTTTAGATAACCGTTTTAAAATGCTAGGCTTCCAAACATGGATAACTGGTATAAATCAGTTCATTATAAGTTTGAATAAATAAATCAACAAGCATGAATTGAATGACATTTTAGGCCTACACTGGCAGATGCTCCAATGTCCTAAAAGATCCTCTCACTTAGGTTATTACTTGCTTTCAATTGCCTATTGCTGCATAACAAGTCACCCCAAAACTTAGTAGCTTAGAACAACAACAGTCCTTTATTTTACTCACAAATTTGCAACTTGGGCTGGACTCAATGGGGATAGCTCATCTGCTCCATGGACTGCCAGCTGGGGCCGCTCAGCTTAAGGCTGGAAGATTCACTTTCAAAGTGGCTCACTACATGGCTGGCAAGTTGATAATGGTTGTTGGCTGGGAGCTCAGCTGGGACCATTGGGGGGGGCAGGTCTCAGTTCCTCTCCACAAGCTACTTGTGCTTCCTCACAGTGTTTTGGCTAAGCTCCAAGAACAAGCGAAATGAGAATCAAAAAGAAGCTATGTGGTAGGCAGAATTCTAAGATGATCCCCAGTGACTTTCTGAGAGCTAAGTTTAGCCAACACCTTCATTTTGGCCTCACGAGACCCTGAGCACAGGATCCAGACATGCTGTGCCCAGAATTCTGACCTACAGACTGAGCTAATAAATGGATATTATTTTAAGCCACTAAGTTTGTGGTAATCTGTTGCGCAGCAATAGAAAACTAATAAAAGCTCTGTTGGCTTTTATGATCTAACCTCAGGTCACATAACATCACTTTCTCCAGTCACGAGCCTACCCAAATTCAATGAGAGGGGGACATAGACCCACCTCTCAAAAGCAGGAGTGTCAAAGTCACACTTTAAGAAGAGCATGTGGGCCTGGCCAGGCGTGGCTCAGTGGTTGAGCATTAACCTAGGATTTGTGGTCAGGGCACATGCCCTGGTTGCGGGCTGGATCCCCAGTAGGGGACGTGCAGGAGGCAGCCGATCATTGACTCTTTCATCATTGATGTTTCTATCTCTCTCTCCCTCTCCCTTTCTCTGAAATCAAAAAGATAAATACACACACACACATGTATAAAGAGCATGTGGAATGGAAAATATTGTGGCCACCATGGCAAATACAGTTTACCATATTACTTAACTTGAAATCACATAATTATAGAACATTGCAGTTGAAAGGATCTTACAGATTATCTGTCAACTGGGGATAATAGTGATATCTACCTCCCAGCATTATTGTGAGGCTTTAATGCATTAATCTTTGTTCAGTGCTGAGTATTGGGCCTGGTATATAATTAGTGCTCAGTGAATTTCAGCTATTATCATCATCCAGTCTAACTGCCTCATTTTATAAATAAGGCATGTAGCCTTCAGAGACCATGTTATTGCCCTGGCTGTTTTTGCTCAGTGGTTAGACCATCAGCCTGCGGACTGAAGGGTCCCGGGTTTGATTGTGGCCAAGGGCACGCACCTTGGTTGCAGCCTCGATCCCTGCCCCTGGTCAGGGCTCATGCAGGAGGCAGCCAGTCGATGTGTCTCTCTTACATCGACCTCTCTCTCTCTCTCTCTCTCTC